TGCACAGCACCATCATCCTGAGAAATTCATTCTTTATGAAGGTAACAATCACCATGTAAAAGTTCCTTCAAGTTCACCTAACTGTATCTTTAAATTGTCATTATTCTGTACTATACATAACATTAGAAAGATGCTATAATTGCCTAAGGGTCCTAAAAAAATACTTTTTAACTGTTCCACTTCATACATTATGAAGATCTTTGGGGGATTAGTTAAGAGAGCTTTGTCACTTAGCTACTTTTGTTCCTCTATAACACTTCACAAAGGTTTCAAATATACTGGATTGACACTCATGAGGCAAGTAATCTTAGAGAAGAAAGAGAACTGACACAAAAACTAGGAATTTTAGTAAGACATTATCATGCAGTTTCTTAAACTGATTCAATTTTCAAAGTAAATCTTCCAAAGACATTGCTAAAGCTGGACCAAAATTATTAAGTACATTCTGCTTAGGTCACTCTCTCTGAACCCACAGAAGACCACAAAAGCTTCCCCCAGGGAAGACAACACCATTGCCAATAGGAGCTATAGGCTCCACACACTCCTATCCTGGGAACAGAGCTGAGTTTGAAAGGCAGCTCAGATTTCCCTGGGTAGCTCACAAGTGACACACATTTTCCAGGGAAGACCCTTTATACCACTTCTAGTAAATTTACACCTGGCTTTTACTTCATCACAGGTAAGTAAACTGAGCTATTTTCAATACATATTGATGACAACAGGTCACAGTCTTCTACAATCTATTTCTGTTGGTATTTTGCTTTAAGTTTCTTACTCTAAGAAAACACATTTGGCTTTGGGAAAATTAAGTTTTGTCTTATTCTTGCAAGCGGGCAAGTCCTAAAAATAAAGTGTCTGTTTAGATTCATAAAACCAGTTAACAACAAACAGACAACACAAAATGGACAGAGCATTGCGTATCCAAGCAGCACGATGACCACAACATAGAACACTAACTCTGTCAAAGCATCAGTGCATTTTTTCAAGCCTGCTTCAGCCAGACCCTATCTCAGGGTGCTGCTGGAGCTGCCCATGAGCAGTACAGCCCTGTGCTCAGCCAGGCAGCTTTCTCCTGTCCTTGCCTCCTGCTCATTGTCCTTCTCCCTCACGTCTATGTACTTTTAACATGCAACATACAGTAGGAGCATTCAGCTCAGTGTTGTGGTATCCCCAAAATACATTAAATGTGCCCCACACATGCTCCAAAATGGTTACTATCTGGCATAAGTCCTGTTCCTCCTCCCTCATCTCATGATGCTGGCTGGCTTCTGCATGCTTTTAAACAAGCAATATGTAGGCTTGAGTCAAATGCCTATCACAGAAAGCACCTTTCCCCACTGCACATTTCCAGGGCTATAAATGTTATCCAGTCAACCTTAAACTAAGGCAAATACAGTATTTTGAGATGTTCAGTGGTGCTTTCACACCTGCTCAAAATGTCACTGCTTAAACCCTCAAGAAAAACATGGGGAAAATTGTGACTCCCTGAAAATGAAAGCCAATTCAACATGGGGCAGACATACCATACATTTCAGGTTAGAGAGTAAAGCCCAGGTCAACTCTGCATGGGACAAAAACAACATAATTTCACTGACAAAAAATCAGCACTTAATGATATTCCTGGGATCTCATGCATCCATTTTTTATAATTGAGGATATTATTTTTACTAAGATTCCTTTTAAAGAACCACCTTGGTATTGAAATGTTCTGCAGCTGCTGCAGTTGCTTTGTATTCATCATAATGAGCCACAGTAACATCACTCAGTACCTTAACTCAAGCAGTATTTCACACTTTTATTCACCACCCACTGTAATCTTCTCATTTTCACTGCAGCTGGACAATCAGAGCAACTGTGGTGAGATTGTCTTTTTTAAAAGTCACAAAGAGTCATACATCCTAAAATTCACACATAATTTGCATGTCTGTGCAACGTTCATATCACTCACAGACACACCCAAGAGATTAAAAGAGAGAAAAATGTATTTGTTCATTACTCTAAGTTTCCTTATGTATGCCAATACATCAGAACCCATTCTGTACATGGAAATGAACAGAAACCATGCAGAAATAATTTTAAGTTAGTTGGTGGACAGCACCTAGAAGAAATCATCTTTATGTTCCTATAAACATGGTCACATTAGATCAGATGAAAAGCACATCTACATGACTACACTTTCTCCATCAGTGGTCAAATATGTACTTTTACTGACTGCTGGAGCCCAAACACAGGAAGCAAAGCCAAAACTTTTAAAACTTGGCTGAAAAATTAGTCTGAAGAGATATTTTCAGACAAAAACCAGTAATTGTGATAATACAGCTAACCATTATTATCTAGCAATGCAGAAGAAACTACGTTTAAAAAATAATAATCTTCCTTATGAGACTTAGAGATGGAAGTTGGATAAATCAGATCAGTTTTAGGTTTAAGTTTCTATATTAGTGTCTCCATTTTCAAAAAACACAGAGATGCAATTTGTTTTAAAGCCACACTGGGAGTTAATGGAGATCAGCAACAGAGCCTTCATCTCTACACTCCCTTTCTGACTTATGCTCAAATCATCTCTCCTCACCCTCTCCCTAAGTGATCTGTATTAACAGTAATTTCCCTTTATTACAGCCACTTTATTCCATTATCCATTTACTTTATCCTCCTGCCAGTTACATACTTCACAGGAGAGAAGAAATCTGTAGGAGATATGTAGTATGGGAGGGGGCAGGATACACAGGTCCATGAGGTCCCAGACAACACACACTAGCTTACCCGAATTCCTGGAAGGTGGATTATATGTGACTTACTAGAAATGAATTTTATGAAGTACAGGATATATATTCTCTTCTGCAACAGAGATTTAAGTATAAGTTTCATTAATTTTGAAGTACAAGTTACAGCCATTTCAAGCTAACCACAAAACACTATCATACAAACCAGACAGCATGCTATCAGATTTAATCAGATTTCAGTAGATTCAACATTTAATGCAGGTAATATTACGTAGCAGCTCCTATACAAGCTGAAATCCAAACAAATACGAAATGTGCTAATGAAATCTATTGATATAGTCTGGACTACAGAGCACACTACTCAGTACGCAGGACATTTGTTACAAGGAACCGTTGTGCATTACTTTTCACGAACACTTTAGCAAAGGTGTGAAAATAAAAAAAAAGTGCATGTGTAGACATTTCTATTACTACATCAACTGTAGAATGAATTGCTTTGTTAGGAGGTGCTGGTTTGCTTCTGCAGGTATTACTGCTCTAATGGCTAGTGATGATAAGCCAGCCGCTGCCAAACACAACACCACAACACATAAACAGCTAAGCAAAGACTTTAGGTGGAGGGAGAATGAATTAGGATCCTCTCTCTGCTTTCCCAGAACTTCCAGAAACCTCATTAAACTCAACACCTGTGTTCCTCTAAGAAGATGATCAATAAGCTTCTAAGTTAGACACTTCCATTTCCTTACAGCCATAAAATACTGATGTGATGGACAGATTCGTCTCATGGGACAAATGCACATACATAGACCTCACAGAGAGGTCCCACAAAGTTCATGCAGATTTACGGTAGGGTATAACCAAGTAAAACTCGTAATTTACTGGAAACAGTTTCATGCTTTCTCCCCAGGAAAGCAATTTTTTTTTTTTTTTTCCTGACAAGGCAGAATCAGGGATGTTTTTGGCAGTACTTTCGTACTGCTCCATCGCCAGACAAAGCGTTTTCCAGAGGTGGAGCAGGGAGCGGTGACCGGGCAGGAGCCCCCCAGGCACGGGGAAAAGGAGCCTGGCCCGGCCCCGCAGCCGCCCTGCAAACAGCGCGTTTTGGAGCGGGGAACGACTCCCGGCCGCTGTACAGCCACCCTTAAACACCCCAAGGCGGCTGCCAAAAGCCACCACAACCCGGCGGTGCCCGTGGTGCCCCCGGTCCCAGCTCGGGGGAGGAGGGAGGACACCGGTCTCTCCCGGGCGGGCTCTGCTCTGCCCCACTACACACACTCGACCCCACGGCTAGCGCCTTCGCGGAGACAGGACCGCCACCTACCAACCTTCCCTTAAACCTCCCCTCTCCCTCACCTGGAACTCCAGCCCGTAAATCACCGGTGCGTCGTCCTCCATCGCGACCCCCCCAGCCCAGTCAGGCACCCCCTGTCGCGTCCGATGCTTTTTGGCCCTCGGCGTGGCCCGTCGTCGGCCGCTTCCGGGAGCTGCGCTTGCGCAGCCCCGCCCGGCCCGGAGCGGGCGCAGGCGCAGTGCGGGGGGAGCGGCGGCGGACGCGGCGGCGGCGCGGAGGTGATGGGATAGGATGGGGTGGCACGGGATGAAATGAAACAGAGCAGAGAGGTCGTGTGGCCTGGCGGGTGTCCGGGTGGTCACTGGGGTGGTCTCGAGGCTGTGCCAGGAGGAGGCCGTGAGGGAGGCCGGGCCCACCCCCGCCGCGGGGTGTCCGGGCCGGAGGCAGCTCCAAGCCCGGCCCGAGGCTGCGGGGGCTCGCAGGCGGCTCAGCCGCCGCCGAACGTTGCTCCTGCTTAGCTGGCCCGTGCTCGGCAGCTGCGCTGGTGATGGCCGTGAGCCCACGCTTCCCGTTGCTGAAAGCGGGACCTAGCGGGTCTCTGCCACCAGGAAAGCAAATGTCGAGTCACTGGAACAGGTTGCCCGAGGAAGTTGGGGAGGTCCCAAAACTAGAGGAGTTCAAGGCCAGGTTGGATAGGACTCTGAGCAACCTGGTCCAGTGGAAGGTGTCCCCGCCCATGGTAGGGGGTTTGGAATCAGATGATTTTGTAACGTCCTCTTCCAAACCAAACCATTTTCTGATACGATTCTGCGATATTGTTTTATGTGTTTAGTGGGAGGCATTTGGTCTTCAATCTCAATAGTTTTACGACTTGCAGAAAAGATAAAGAGAAAATATTTTCAGAATTCTGTGATTGGACATTAAATGAAAAATGTCAAAGAGAAGATCTGAAGTAGTGAAATTACTATGTTTTTGAAGTAGTGATATTACTGTTTTTAAAGCAAGAATTTCACTATTTGTATGATACTTAGGAGTTTAACTGTGACACCTGAGCAATATACAAGCAATAAAACTAATTTTTGTTTTGGTGGGGGCTTCTCCTTTTTCAGTTACTATGGAGAATAATGAAAGTAATGCTAAGGATGCAAAGAGCACCTCAGATGAAGATGACACCAGAGACGTAGTTCAGCAGAAAACTCAGGAAGAAATTCTCTTTCATGAGGAAACCATTGATCTTGGTGGAGATGAATTTGAGTCTGAAGGGAATGAGACTGTATCAGAGGATTCAAATAATTTTGTAGATAAACTTAATGAGCAAATGATGGAGAGTGTTATTATTTCAGATTCTCCAAACAATAGTGAAGATGACACAGGTGAACTTGGATGTCTTCAGGAAATTGTAGACCAAATGGAAGCTAAAGATAATCAAAAAACACAAACAGAAGTGGATAAAGAAGAGTTTTTAAGTAATGAGAGTGAAACTGAACATGAAGAAACTCCTAAAGACATTTCTGAGATTGGAACAGATGATCAGGCATCTTTAAAGGAAGAATCAATTCAGGAAGCAGTGAAGGAGGAACCAAAGTTGGGAAACAACGTTCCTGTTGAAACAAAACCAAATAATGTTGATGAAAGCACACCTAAGGACCAAACATTGTCACCGAGTACTACCAAACTGTCTTCTGAGGCTGAACCCATTCCTGTGTGCACAATATTCAGCCAAGCAAACAATGCTAGTTCTCAGCCACAGTTGTTCCTACCTGATGGTTTTGAGCCTCAGATGGTGAAATCTCCCAGTTTTAGTAGTATAATAGAGACTCCAGTGAAGTCTAATCCACAGGTGGTTCAACCAAGTCCTAGTCTAAGCAAATTCTTTGGTGACACTGTTAACACTAATACTTTAGCTTCTGATTTTTTTGATTCATTTACCACATCCAGTTTTATTTCTGTTAGTAATCCCAATGCAAGCTCTTCAGTTTCAGAACAAATGTCCTCTCTTTCCAATGGTGGAGATAGTTCTTCATCCAACACTACTTTCCCTGTGCAAAATGGGAGACCTGAAGCAGGTGGTCCACCATCATCTCTAGAAATAACTCAATCCCCCAAGCCGTTCTCACAAATCCAAGCTGTTTTTGCTGGGAGTGATGACCCATTTGCCACAGCCTTAAATATGAGTGAACTAGATCGAAGAAACGATGCTTGGATTCCTAGTGAGGAGACAAGAAATGTTCTCATTTCAGTTGCTACACAACAATACAGCGCTGTGTTCATCGATAAAGAGAATCTCACTATGCCTGGATTAAAATTTGATAATATCCAGGTAAGAGTCTATTACTCTATCTTCCTCTATGATTATGTTTTAGAAATACTGTAGAAGAGTTGTCCCATAATCTGTGTATCATAGTGCTTCACACAGTTGCTGATGGTCAGCTTGTGTATATTATTTCAGTCCTAATTAGAAAATGCACTGTCACTGCTGCCTTGTGCGGGAAGAGACTAAAACCAGGTCTCATTTATTCATAGTGTCATTTGTTTGCTGCATTGTCAACAGTGTTGACAGTTTCCATAGAGGCCAAAGCTGTTTGTATTTCTAAGGTGTTTGTATTTTTTTTCTGGTCCTCTGAGTTAGTAAGATAATACTCACATTTGGAATATATACACAACCTCTAAGCTGTGCTACAGAGTCTAAGAGCAGACAGCTTTGTGGAATTCCCTGTTGCGATTGAGTGGGAAATAATTTCACTCATGTTCACAGTGGTCTCAATAATGTTAACACTGACTGAAATGGCATCATTTCCATCTTCCCTAAGCGATGGAAAACTATAACTTCTGAGAAGGATTGAGTGCTGCAGCAAGCTGCTGGGAACACCCAGAAAAAGACTAGAGGAGATTACAAAGCAAACAACATAGTAATGAAAAGTAATTTTTTGTCATCTATCAATTTCTAACAGGTTAGAAGGCATAAAGCATTTTTTCTCAAAATGTGGGAAATTTTACTCACATCTCTTCAGGATTTCTCATGAAGTAGTTTTATCCTGGCTGCTTAGCCAGTCTTAACTATTGTAATGTTTCGGTTTTTTCTTGAAACTGGCTAATCCTGCTCTTTAATGTCTATGCCTCTGGATAATAGAATTGTTGTGTAGATGGATGGTGTTGAGGGTTTGGATGCTTTAATCCTTAATTGTGCATAACAAAGACCATCAGTCAATAGTCAAGTACAAGCAAAGAGCAGTCTGCAGTAACTTCTCAATCTGCAGGAGATAGCAGAAGAGTTTCTGGAGTGAATCAGGTCCAGATTTATAGATGAATTATCTGAAAAATCTTTGGTTTCTGTCACAAGCAATAAGTACCGGTTTAGACATATGCCACACTACTGCTGCTTTGCTTTATCTTAAAACATTAGTTTGTTATCACAGTGCCAAATAATTAGCATGAAAGAAAACACTGTAACAGGAAGCTATTCCTCCTCCAGTTGTGCCCAAAATATCCCTTAGACCTTGATGAGTTATTCCAGTGTCTACTTTCTCTCCTGGCAGCTAATCAGTTAGGCAGATGGAGCGATCCCTTCTGCAGTCTCCAAGGATGATGGTCTCCTTTTTGCAAGCTTCCTTTTTTACAGGAGGTCTCTTTCACTGTCCTCAGCCCAGCCAGGGATTAAAGGCTGGTTTCTGCGATGGTTCCCTAAATCTGGGCATGTGCAAATATGCAGATTTATCCTTTGGTACATAATTGATGGGAAGATGTTTGACAATGTCCATTTCTACGAAAGACCTGTTGTAAAATCATCAATGGAATTAAAGGAAAACCTACCGCTTTCTTCATTGTTTATAATTTATAAGAGTCTCCTAGACATGTCCATGGGGACAAGTTTTGAAGTGCTTTATTTTTATAAAACTTTCCTCACTTTCACTCGCTGCTTTTCTGTGTCCTGAGTGCATGTCTTGACTGATTTGACATCCCCTAGTTTGGTATCATTGTTCCATAGTATTGCAAATTGTGTATTTGCCTGAAACTGTAACTGTAGAGTGCTTGAAATGTAAACTGAAACCTTATGGCAGGTATATTTTCAAATATTAAAGCGGCTTCCAACAACAGTTGTTACACTTTTGCTATGAGTAGTTTGCTAATGCTGAAAGTTAATGCAAGATCTTAAACCAAGCTACATGGAGTGGGCAGAGAAGTTGTTTGAAAAATGCATTTGCAGTGATGTGAACTCTAATTGTGCTTCAGGAAAGGACTGAAATTTCACATGATGTATTGATGAGCTTGGGACTTGATTTTTTGCCCTGCTTGCTCTGAAAGGGTATAGTAAGACAAGTCTTATGTTGATAAATCACACCAAGAAAAACACTGAATGATTTTTATTTCAGCTGCATGCTACTTTTTGACAATCATTTAAAAGTTTTTTAAACTTATCTTGGTTTGTGTATGGTAAAGATTGTACCAGTGTACTCCAAGTGTCAGAACAAATCTGAGTGCTGCTTTTTATGCTCTTTCCATTATGCCTTTTTTCATGAGTTGCTCTCTTCTGCCATTGTCCTTTGTTTCCATACATTCATTTGTACTGTTTCCTACACTAAAGGACTGTTGGATCCAAAATGCTGTTAGGGGGAATTAAAAATTCTTCTGTATTTATGTAATTTTGCACACACTGTCTCTTCTTAATTCTTTGGGCTCTTCTGTCAGAGAGGCAGATATGATGTTTATGCATAGAGTAAGTGACATCATTAAAGGTAAAAAATTTCCATGTAGTGAAACAGTAGTTCTCATTCCTTAAGAAACTAGACGGAAAACACAAATATATTTGCCATCACTGTCCATGGGGAAAGTTGAAACACTTAATGTCAATTGTCTTTAACATAGCTAAGCTCAGCTGTTATTGTATGCAGTTCACTCTTTTTAGGCAAAAAGCTACTGAGCTCAGATAGCCTAGTTTCTCTGACTGATACCTGCAGCTATTTCTTTTGAAATTTAAAACACTTGTTGAAGGTTTGCTGTTTACTTTGGTTTACGATTTCTCAAAGTTTCTCTTCTGTGGATATTTAAGGCTAACTTACTGTATGCATGTTTATCTTTGATCAGTAGATCGCACCTTTCAATGTTAACATATGCTACAAAAACCTGTAAAACTTTCTGGTTTTTATAAAATCTTTAAGGAATATTTTATGAGATCTTTGAATGATAATAGTATAAGAGGCAAATAAACTTGAATTTGTCAATGCTAACTGAAACCTATACATGGAAAAAAACCCATAGCAAATTATGTGGAGTAAATGTAGAAGTTTTCATTCCAATGTTGTACATACGTGTGCAGTTATATTTATTTCACATGTAATGTATTGGAAAATATGTATTTCTGTGGAGGAGAGAACTCTTGTTCAGTTTTAATTCTACATTTTATTTTGCTGAAATAATATTCTAAATAGTCTTGTTATCTTTTTTCTTTTTCTGTTCCATATTTACCAAGGGAGATGCAGTAAAAGACCTAATGCTTCGCTTCTTGGGGGAGCAGGCTGCAGTGAAGAGACAAGTTTTAAATGCCAACTCTGTAGAGCAGTCATTTGTAGGCTTGAAACAGCTAATTGTAAGTAACAATCATCATATAATATATATTTAATATTGTATTTCCCTCAAGATAATTGGGAGCTACTGACTGAGGAGGAACTGGAAAAAAATATTTGTGTATTAGTCTGTTCCTGATCCCTCTATAGTACTAGCCAAACTGCAGTAGTCTTTAATGGGAATGACAGTGGGGTTTAACTATTTGGGTTTAAAGCACATAGTAAACTTTTTTTAACATGCAAAAGATATAAAAAATTATTTTAAGTGACTGTGAGTTTTTATGTAATACAAATGGTTGCAAAACAGATTTTAATAATGTTTTTGTTTACCTGTGTATGTATTTATGTTTTCACCTGAGTGAAAAAGACATAAAAGTTGTAAATGGCAAGCCAAACTGGTATGATAATTGCCCCTGCCTAATTTTTTACTTCAGTGCAGAAAACTAAAGCAAATTACAAATTAAGAAAGCTTGACTTAATCCTTTCATTAGTGTAAATATTTCTGTTTTGAAAATTCTTGTCTAGCAGCATTGTAAACCTTGCCTTGTTCCTTTAACCATTGTGCTCCTGCATAGAATTAATTACTATTGCATGACTGAGCCTTACTGAATCTGATGACATAACAAGATGTTTTGGACTTTTTTTTTTAAATAGATGAAAAATTACTGAGCAAAAGTAGTGAGGAGTTACCAGGACAGGCTGTATTTAATATTTAACAGCTTTTAATTTAATCATGTGACTTTATATGTAAAAGACATGAGTCTCCAAAAGACATAACTTTTTTGTCATGTTAGGATCTCCTAGGAGTTCTCAGCAAGCACTGTTAAAGGAATTCAGAGGTAATTTTAGAAACTAAACATGAAAAAACAGATTGTGATCTCCATTCTAGACACGTGTTTTTCTGTTTCTCTCAATGTTTTGCTTGACTAGAGAGGGAAAAAAATCTCATGCAAAAGTCTTGTACCCGTGCATGTCTTAAGTAGGAAAAGCTTTTTTTCACATTTCTTTTCCATCTTCTGGAAGAGAATTTTTGATATGTGGGAAATGCTTTTCTCTGTAGCCTGGTAGCAGTGTCTATGCAAGATGTTATATGCTGCAGACTGTCTTGTACCTTAATTACAAGGCTGCTGCTGATACTGTTTTTGCTTTGAGCATGCTCTTAAGCTTCAGAAGAGTAGTGCTAAAGCTTTTAGGCCCAAGGCAGTAAAGGTAGGAGGCTGTCTGCAGCTACAGGATTTTTTGTTGCTTATGGCACTTATGGTTACTTATGTTACTTAGGGCTTTTTTAAAAAAAAAAACAACAAAACTTGCCTTATTTAGAAGGGTGGAGTTTTTTATAAAATAGAAACCATTCGGGTAGAAGTCAGAATGTTCTTCGGTTTTCAAGGCTTTCAATCGTTACCTGTTGGTTGGGTTTGAGTATGGAAAATAACTTTCTCAGTTTCATTTGTAGAACTCTTTCTGATGAGAATTAGTTGGTCTCTTTTTGTTCCCTTGCAAACATTGCATTTCTTTTTAAAGTCTAAATGTAGAAAATTTATTTCTGATTGACTATAAAGGAATTTCAGACTTAAAATTAAAAATTAAAATCCTGTGCTAGATGATATTAACTAAAAATATATGTGCTTTTTACGTACATAATAAGCCAGAATAACATATAATAAGTACTCTGTTACTAGTCATGAATTTTACTTTGTTTATGGGTGAATTCCTGACAAAATATGTTCAGTGAATAAATCTTTTAATGCAAAGGACAACTTACAGGCAATATTTATATTAAGATCTAGTTAAAAACTAGTGAATATTGAGAATATTGCTGTGCAGTTTCTATAAAGATTTTTTTCCTTAGCAATTTATTTGGTGTCCTTTTGTACTACACATGTACATGACATTTTTTGTCACTCAATTCAATCCCTTGCAGAAGCTTAGAAGAGTGTATTTTGAATGTGTCTGCAGTGCAGAAGAGAAGTGCTTAGAATTAGGATAAATTTCACCTTCAGACTGATAGCTATTATTTTGGTGTTTACATATGAGTTATTGTCTGAACTCGTAAGTCAATAGAGACCTAATAGTGCAGTCCTTGATCATAAGCTCAATTTACATGTGTTTCCATCTAAAAGTCCCAACAATTATCACATGCTATAGGAAGACGCTAGTGGCAGCTGAAACCAAAAGTGAATGTTTAGTCCTGTTATGAAGAATTTTGTTAGGATAAAATTCTCAGATGATCTTGGGCAAACTCCATTGTATTATGGGGGGGAAAAAAAAAGGAAAAAAATAAAATCAGTATTCTAAGCCTGTCTGCTTCAGAGGAAGCTGCTTCCTTAGTGTCTGGTCACTGTTTTAATCCTGTGTGGGTGGAAAAATACACTCATCAGTATACCAAATCTTCAAACCACAGGTCCTCAGCGGCAGCTCTGAAGATTCTCTATTCTACCATATGATTAATTCTGTTAGCTTATTTGGCTGTTTTAGTAAATACACATACACTGCTTCTACTTTCAAGGGCTATTCCACAAGTTGGTTCCTTTGGTTGTTAATCAAAGGCATTGTAATCAGTCCTCAAAATCTTTTTTCCTAATCAAAGCTGAAGTTGTTTACAATAACTTAAGTGTTTTGGTCTTATGTTGCTTTTTAAGTAATTTTTATTTTCCTTATTATTTGCTTCTTCTCCCCTGCTACTTTGTATGAGTAGACAGCCATGGCATTTCCATTTCTCAAGATTTTCTTTTTAAAGGAAAAAATAACCTTTCTCTAGTCATCTTGTCATGGATGCCTTCATAATCATCTTTGGAGCTCTTCTCAGACTCTCTCCCAATTGAAGCTAATGCCTTCTTGTTATCACTGCTCAGAACTCAGCACGTGACTATAATTAAAATGTAAATTACATGACTTGCCTTGTGTTCTACTTTTTCTATTGTTCTGATATTGTAAATCATCTGATCCCTGTGTAGTGATGCAGTCCTAACATATTGAAAGTACCACCTCCTAGGTTACATCTACAAATGAACATACCACCTCTTTTAACTAGGGCCACAAAGGAATACCTTATATTGGACTGTTTCCAGTGTGCATTCTCTAATAGTACCTTCTCACATTCCTGTAAAAGTAAAAAATATTTAAGTTAAAGAGCTTCTGTGGGTAAGATGCAGTTGGTGCTTGCAGCAAAGAATGTTGGAGACTAATGTCTTTTTGGGAACGTCATAGTGCAGTCTGCAAAAGCTTCTTCAAGTACAACTAACTGTCAAAGAACAAAATTTATCAAGAAATTGGTAAGCTGAACATTCAAAGGTGCATCTTTTCTCATGAAATCACCAACAGCAGTACCATGTCTAAGACAGTTTTTCACTAGGAATGGAACTGAAGTTGTTAAACTTTGCTAACAAAAATGTTCAGCATCAATTTGGTCTCTAGATGGTTTGAATGAGATTTTTGCCAGTAAAGCAAAGATGGTTTATTGAACAACTGTACTTTCACATTTTCAGTTTCTTCTGTGGGATAGGCAGAAGTGAATTGGAAATGTTCTACTGGTAGCAAAATGGTGTGGAGGGGGTGTAGGTGAATGAGTATTGCCACTTTAGGGCTTTAAAGAGATATGGAGCTGCTGGAGCAGTTCTGCACAATAATTCTGTAATAACTTGTGATTAGAGTTACGCATCTGTATTGGATACGTTTTTGTATTTTTTAACTGAGAAAATCTGGCTTTTCAATTTCTTAAAAGTTTTATCAATCTGGCATAGGAACATGCATTTACATCTAGAGCAAATAAATGTAAGCAAGATCTTCTTGTCATAGTGTTGCTTTGTTTTACAGCAGCAAATACAAGGTGCAAGATGAAATTATGCTAGTTCTTGTTATTCCATATTTTAGACTAATTTTTTTACCCTCATTTGAACAAATAGCACAATCTTGCTTACCAGGAGCCCTTCTGATGTCTTCAGTTGTAAGGTGCCTGCATCCAGAGGAAAATTGAGTCTTTTGTAGTTATCATACCAAAAAAAAGACTCCTTTATCTTGCCACTATAAATATGTAATGTTTCCTCTAAATATGGAATTATTTCTTCAAGCTGCTGGACCAAGAAAGGGTTACTAGCTACATTTTCTTAACTGATGTGTAAGTGCTCTACCAATGTAATTTACAGGGGAAAAGCATGTCATAGCTAGTGGAGAAGGACATTTTAATAACTTTAATGGTGTTACATGTAGAGTTAATGACTCCCTTTGAGTCTATTTTTAAAAAGTCATATACTGTTACGTTTGCACATGAGTAGTGTTGTGATTTTGCATATATTTTCAAATATAGCACATCTGGATACAATGGTATAACATGCCTATTCACTTTAATAAGTTAGAAAGTATCTTTAAAGATAGGGGAGGGGATAGTTCTTTTGTTTCTAAATCAGTGAGCAATTTCCTATATTTTTATAGCTGATTTGAGAAAAGGTGGGAGTAGCACAAGCTATAAAGTGTGTGCTTTTGTGAAGAGGTTGCATTTCTGTGCTAAGAAGCAGCTATTTATTGGATAAAATTTCAGTGTTTTTCCTGAGAGATTGAATTGTCTTATAAATTGTCTTTGTATATCAGAGGAGTTCCCTTTTCATCATTGACCACATTTTCTGTAGATTTCCAATTGCATGCCTCTCTTTGCTTGACAGAAGAATTACATATGAGATCTGTTTTACTATGCAGTTTCCCTGTCTCTATGTAAACCTCCCCCAGGATTTCTGGGTTTTTTTTGAAGAACAGAGAAGTTCTGCAAGGAATGATGCATTGTCTGTTGGGTGGCTGATCTGCTTGGCCTGGCTTTGATGTGTGTACAGCAGTCAGTACTGAGATAGTTTGGAGTCTTGGTTATATATATGGATTTTTTAAAAAATCGTTTCACTACATAAACATCTGGTCTAATAGTGTTCAAAAAGTACAGAAATCATGCAAGCTGGTGCCTTTCATTAAGAGAATAGCAGCACCTTAACTTTTGAGAGTAGTGGAAAGATGATACTAACATCGTGTGGAGTTTTCTTCTATGCTGCTGCTGTGTTAGTGAACTATTGAGCAATAGTATTTGGTTGACAGTATTTTTTATTAGAGAAACTGGTGTTTTCACACAATTACAGCTGGACAACCATAACCTAATCATCACAGAATAGTTATTTTTGTCTTTGAGAATGTTCTTCAGTATTTTTTATGCTGTATCTGAAGCTGTGGTGACCGTATTTGCTTTGAGTCTCTACTAACAACTTAGAAACAAAATTCAGGTATAAAGAACCTGGATTTTTAGAGCTGTGTGATTGGAGACCACAGGCAGCACAAAAGTGACCTGCAAGGTTTTGAGGGATGTTTGAAATGGATAAAGATTTCTGGTAGACTGGCAGCTCTTAAGTCTGGTACAATTTGCCTGGGACAATAATGTGTCCAGTCAAATTAAGTTGTACTGCCAGCAGCCTTCTATTAAGCTTCCACAGCAAATTATGCTCCATGACCAGCAGGCAGCTCTAATTTTGAAATCATTGCAAATACTGTGTTTCACTTTCCAGCAAGGATTGTTTTCACAATAATTGTCAGATTTGCTTCTCTTGGCTGACTTGTTCAATGAAGTATTTTTTGTCCCTGCCTGAAATAGAATTTAAAAGGTTGTAGCAACTAAGTTGGTCATAAATGATCCATTATTATTTTTTGATCCTAAACTCTCATTTGGGAAGAAAAATTTAGCAGTTTTGGAGTCTGTGTGTGCTCCTGTTCTAAGAATAATAAGAATTTAGTTTGTCCAGAAGAGGAATGAATTTCAGGTAATCCATGTCAATATCTTTCTGCTTTTCTAAGTTAATAAAGGTAGATGTTGAAGGATGTTATAATGCATTATCAATTCCTGCTCTTCCATAAGAGCATAGATGGCTCAGAGTCTGCCATGCTGTTTCGTGGTCTTGCTGTCAGCCAACTTTTGCATTTCCAGTGGAACTCAACTTTGTCTGGCATTTGACAATGCAGAGAGGAGAGTTGAGGTGCTTAGTGCATGGAGATCTCTGTAGTGGCCTGTTTGCAGCCTGTGTGGTTGCAGAATGGGGGCCAGAAAGTAGGGAAACTTCGGTTGTTACTACTGGTTTTTCAATGTGACTGCTGTATCCACACATTTTCTAAAACATTGCAGAGAAATTAATAGAATACCAATTCAAGATTAGTATCTGAACTTTGCAAGCACCAATAGAAATGTATTTTATTCCTTTACATTTCATCAGACAACATTATTGTTTTCTATTAGAGTTATATTTTTTTTATGTATTAAGAAACTCTTTGAAACAAATATTACTTTCGGGAATAACATACATATACTTCAGAATGACCTGCTGGATACATGTCTCTTTTAAAATTTCTCTGTATAATAGAAAAGTATGATAGCTTAAAACCTGTGAAGCATTAATCTGTGTTTTAAGTTTTTAATTTGTAGACTATACAAGGCAGAAATACTATTGGACTATTTCTGTTGAAAAACTGATTAACAGTGTGAGACTACAGTTTGATTTGTCTAACAAGGAATATTTTTGTTCTATGAATAAAAAAATAAATTTAAGAGTGTTTTGAAATTAGTCATGCAGTGGAAATCCAGATGTTTCTTTTAGAGGTGAAACAGTTGTTATTGTTCTGAATTTGTCATTTGTGCATTGTATTCTTCCTTGTTCTTTGTTTTTGATTAATAGGAATTTTGTGTCCTGGACAATGCTAAAAGTTTCTTTTCATTAAGTGAACTGTACTGGGGTATTAATCTCTGATACTGAAGTCAGTGAGACGAGAATTGGCATTGAATACTTTATGATCGTAGAGTAACTTGGATATTATTGATAATACATGACTGGCAATTTTTTTTCCCAAAGTTGTGAATATTATAGTATATTAATATATATAATCAAACATTATCTAGTTTTAAGTTTAAAATTCCGTATATCCTTTAGTTTTAGTGATCTGGCAATATTAATAGTTGATTTCCCTTTTTGCCTAATTAGATGTACAGCTTTGACAAATGACATTCTGCTTCTCACCAGCCAGCTCTCTGACCTTGTCATTATTACTGAGGAGTACATGTCGCTCCTGCAGGCAAAATAAGCAGTTGTGCATTTTAGGGACTTTATGATTTTGCTGCTTATTCTGTTCTTCTTCCCAGAGCAGTAAAAACTGGAGGGCAGCAGTTGACTTGTGTGGGCGGCTTCTAACTGCACATGGTCAAGGCTATAAAAAAAGTGGACTACCTGCTAGCCATACAACAGATTCTCTACAGGTATGTTTAAAGGTGCCCTTGTCACTTTTCCTAACAATATTCATAGTGGCTCTTTTTTTAACATGATCAAACTCCTTTTCCTAATTGTAACATAGAAATTGAGGTTATTTAAGTATTTTAGCGAGTCACTTTTTGTTTGTTTATGTGAAAATCCAATCTCAATTCTATGTTTTTAAAGGTTTTTACACTAGTAAAATGGAGTATGTTTTGACTCACTCTGGTAAAGTTCATGAAACTATCGAGATTGTGAACTTTATAGTAAGATTCCACATGTTAGAAATGTGTTTCATGTTGCTTAGAAGATAAGAATCCAAATTAATAAAATACTGCAAGTGATTCAGATGTGACCAGATGAGAACTCATGTTTTTGAGCCTAGTGGTGATAAAGCTCATGGAGTTTCACCAAAAGATTTTTAAAGAATACCATAAAGTTGAAAAAGCAGTTAAAATACCAGATTGATAATTTGTACATGCCAACTCATTTCAAAGAGAGGTGTTCTAATTTGGAAGCAGGTTAGTTTTTAAACTTGGTCTTCAAAATTTTAGTACCTTTAAAAACAAGCATCGGTCCTCTAAGTTTTGTTTTAAAGATTTGATGAAACGTATTATGTAAAAGGGCAGGTAAATATAAATCCTGATTCTTTTCAGTAATAGAGAAATTTTTTACTCAGCTTTTATCAGAAAAAGTTGAAAAGTTGAAATTGTATTGGATGTGGCTTTTGATTGAAGCTAATAACAGACCTTTCTTTCCCTTTTTTTATATGTATTAATTTTTAGCTGTGGTTTGTGAGACTAGCACTGCTGGTAAAACTGAATCTGTTCCAAAATGCAGAAATGGAATTTGAACCATTTGGAAATTTAGACCAGCCTGATCTTTATTATGAATATTACCCTAACGTATACCCTGGACGTAAAGGTAAAACACTTGATTTATGAAATGCTTTTATTTTTTTTCCGTTTTTACCAGTCATTATAAAATATTGGTTGGATTCAGGGAGTTTTTAAGCCTAAAGTATTGGAGAGCTTTGGATTATGTTGGTTTTGGTTTGGTTTTTTTTTCCCCAGAAGAGCATGATTGATTAGTACATTAAAGTATTGCTTGAATTATGGAGGTAGCAATAAGAAGTAACAGCAGGTAGAGCCATATGGGTAGGCAGTGTATTTCATGATGCTGCTACAAAGGAATGTTTTTAACAAGTAAATACAATATTTTAGTTCTGTGATACTGATATTAAAAACTACCAAACTTGCATAGTTCATTTTACCCGAAAACAGGCTTGAAAGTTGATCAGAGAGTTTGTGGAAACAGTCTCTATAAGCGTTTTCCTCCTCAGTTCATCCCGGTAGTATCACTATACTATTTTTAACCCTTGCATGCCTATATGCTACTGCAGGCACTCTTTCCTGGTTTCTAGGATTAAAAGAAAAAAATGTAAATGTGGAACCTAGTTAATAATTCTCCTTAATTGAAACATGATAAAATGTAATGTTATTTGCTAAATAATTGAAAGTAAGTAAAAATCAGAGATGTACTATGTGTCTCATTATTGAAGAGAAAAAAACCAGCAACCTCTTCAATTCTTTTTAAGCAGCTTGTCTCAAGTTACAAATATACTACTTCCCACTGCTCCAAATAGCCCATAGGTTAACCACATAGTTCACCTACTCTGGATATGTAGTTCTCCAGAAGTCTGGGTTTGAAAAATTGCTATTTTTAAGAGCAATTTTGCTCTTGTTCAGGCTATTTTGAAATTTTATTTTTTCTGTATCTGTTATTTAGAAAAGAATAACTCTCTGATGCAAGTACACTGTTGAGTGTTCTTAAAGTTCTTTGGATTTCGTATTTGAACCACAGTGTGTAATAAAACATTTGTAAAAAGCAGTTGTTACAGGCAGTGCAGCTCTCTGAAAAATTACAGTCCATTTTACATGCGATGCTGATAGCCTTGATGGGGTAACCTAGAAAGACAGAAGATTTTGAGGTTATTGATGAAGGGAAGTGGGAGTCAGAAAGTTCACAGTTTTTGCAGATTATTTTGCTTAGTGATGCAAAAGATGAGTTGCAGCCCAGCAAGGCCAATGTGGACCTCCTAGAAAAACTCCCTCCAAAACTGCTAATTGTCCTTCAGGTAATCACAGGCAATCCACTGGGAAGGAATGTGTCAGTAGGAAGAGTGAAAGAGGTCCTGGTCAGATTGAACAACTTTTTGGATCTGGTGTTCTTAGGGCAGCTGCACACATGATGCTCCAGCAGTAGTAGTCTTCTGCAGGCCATATGTATGTCTCCACATCTTTTTCAATATTAAAAATAAGCTGTTTTGTCTAAGAAAAATCCTTGCAGGTCATGTCAATATTTGAGGCACTTGAGTGCTTGTGCCAAAAATGATGAAGGGAGCAGCCATTCTGGACAGTCTGCCCAGGTGTTACAATCACCTGTCCTGTGACTGAGCTTTGGATCCTGGAGCAATCTCTCAACCACTATGGCTATTTCATACAAGTTGGGAGGATATTGATGGTAAAAAAGGTGATCTTAAGGAAGATAATCTATTTCATAGTTACATGCCTCAGTTAATTTTTAACAGCTGTTCATACCAACTGGGACCATAATCTGATAATTTGTAAGGAAAATTGGATCAAGGTTGAATGGAGCTGACCTGCTAGTTGTAGATATCTCATATGCATCCAACATGTTTCATAGCTGTTCCACATCATAATCATTCCTTACATAGTTTTGAGGAGAGAGAAATGCCATTTGCAGGGATGTAGAAGAACACAAGCAGTTCTTTTTCATCTAGTGTTAAACTACGCTGTGCTGGATTATGGATAAAGAAATTTAGTATACATGCCTTGTTAACCAGCTAATTTAAATAATAAAATACAGATAAATCATTCCTATATTTTGGTTGAAATATTTTAGTATGAATGTACAATCCACTGCTATTTGGCAATTCTGTGTATCATTCTGTGGTGTAAAAGCATAAAAGAAAGGGCTTATTTCAACATTTTAATTTTGATTCATGATATATAAATGGAGTAAACACTTAAAAGTCCATTTAAAAAGTGAGAGTACAGATATAAATAATGTACCCATTAATTGTAATACAGATAATACTGTGCATAATTTCTTTCTATTCAGTATATACATAAAAAAAATTAAGTACATGAGGAAGTTTTCTGGGTTTTATACATGAAGTAGAGAAAGTTCGAAATTTAGAGCAGTGAGAATAGCCCCACATCCATTAATCTCTGAGAAATCTATCTCAAAGAATTTAAATTACAAGTAACTCTATGCTTTTCCCTTAATTTAACTTAACATGGCCAACATATCCTCTTAATTTCCGTCTGAAACTCGCCTAAAGCTGTTTCCGTTTCAGCAGTGCTGCTAATCTCCATTTCCTCTTCCTATTTTGTATGGTATTTACAGCCATGATGTGCATTGATCCCATTATTGTTGTCTTTATCATGGCTGTGAGATGTAGTTCTCCTGGAATCTTCCTTTCCAGGTTTCTATGGGCTTTGTTCAGTTATCTGCATTGCCTGTAGGATTGCAGCCTGTCAGGACGTTGTTTCTGCTGGGATCCTTGTGTTGGCCAGTGGGGTTGGTTAAGGCACTCATAGATCATTCCTGATTGATGACAAGCAGAGAACAAACTGTTCTCATTTTCTAGTAAAATCTTAAAATTCTTTAGTTGCAGATTTATTTCTTTTTAAATTCATCTGCGTAAAGATGCTAAAAAGTCCTATTTTTACATAGAATTTTTTTCTTTCATAATAGGTAGGTCCTTAGGTCAGGAACCCTGTTTCAGATGGCTTCCTGCACATCTTCAGTGTACTGTGTGCATTATATAAGGCTGAATTTTTGTCATCGTCCTCATGACAGATGGATTTCAGGAATTTTTTAAGGATTTTAACTTTATATTTACACAGTCTGACCCACTTCTATTCATGCCATTTGTGTCTGTGTTCCTTGTGATATATAATAAACTCTCATATGAGAACTTGCCTAACTTAAAACAGCCTTTCCATTGTTAATGCCAGTGTGTTGCTGAACCTGTGAAAGCCAACAATTAAAATGGAACATTAAAATGCTATTTCATTCTCTTATGAGGCAATTTGGTCTTGTTTCTGGTCAATGGAGCAGTAAGTTCCAGAAAAGTTAATGCTACCAAAATCAGTCTTCTAAAGCTACAAAACTTGTGAATAATTCATTTTGTATTGCAAAAGGGAAAAAAAAATAAGCTATGCATAAGTAAAAATGGAACTTCTGTTCCCCTGACCAGAAGTTTATATAACATGGGGTGGAGTTTCTTTCCCCTTTTCATCCTCCTTGTGATGATGCAACATCATCTGTATTAGTCTAAATGAAATCAGTCTTCTATTCTCTGGTGGGAAGGGACTAAATAAGGAACATGGCATTAAATATCTAGCTGTATATGTTCTAGAACCTTTACTTCATGGTGTATTCCTTTCCCTGAGCTCTAGTTTCAATACCAGCACAAGGTTTTGAAAAGTGTGGCAGTGTTGGGACTAGGGATACATTAGTGTGTCCTGCAATAGGATGACACTTCTGGATGGATAGTGATAGTTTAAAAAAATAACATAAATAATATATATATAATTTTTTTTCTATCCTGTATAAAATAGTGTGAGTCTAGATATCACAACTTCTTTAGCACTTTACACTACTGATACTTTCATGACATTACTAATATCCACTGTATTTAGAATTTTTATTATAAATAATGAAAAAATTGATAGAAAAAATTTGTGTGTTATTTCATTTTTAATGTGTCCTTAGTTGCTCAAGCAGTGGTCTTAATTTATTTCTTTTATTCAGTTTTTAAAATTCCAGTCATTCTAGAGGGGTCACATCATACATGGTCTAGAGCTGTCACACTAACCCATGTTGTTAGCAAGTTTTCAGTGCTGATGTCTAAGGTGAACTGTAATAATTGTTACTACATTTTGTAAGCTTATAAAATAGCAAAATTTGTAGTGAGAAACTTGTTTTATATCTTCTGATACAGAGATACTGTGTTAGCTATGAAAACACTTATCCAAAGTATTTCTCTAATACCCACAAAAGACATGTTACATGTGTCTGTACTGTATGTAGTGCAGAGGACTCAGTACAGTTGCAAGGTCTACCTGAAGCTTGGTCCTGTTTCTGAATGTCAGCCTATGCCATAAGTAAGGACAGACCTGGATTGGGGAAATTATCTCCTTTATGTGATGCCTCTACAGTGGTGTTTGGCCATTTTGAGTTTACTGTCTTCTTTCTTTTTCTCTTCTACTTGTTTATGCTGGTAGGAGGCAGGCTGGCTGAAGTGCCCCTTTTTTAATTTATGGGGTCTGATGATGCTATAAATCATCCTTTTTTTTTACCCTCATCAGATTTGGTTAGTGGGATAACAGTGGCAGAATGTGGTCTGGGGAAAAAAGATTATTAATAATAAAAGGATTAATGATAAAAGAGTGTGGTAGGTAGAGAAAGAAAAGGAAGTAATCAATGGAAAACAAAGATAAGAGAAGAAATGCACAGGCTAAAGAAACGATATCTTAGAGTGCTCCTCTTTGTTCACAAATTTTGCAAGAAAGCAGAAAAAAGTTACCCCATTGTTACACGTGGTACTGTATTTTTTTCTCATGTGTTACCACAAATACTGCCTTAAGTTAACACTCCCATGTCAACTGATTCAGTCTTGGCAGTTGGTCAGGAGAGTTCTTCATTCAAGTTTGTGTTGGCAGTTAAAAACATTAAAAACCTCTAGTGGAACTGGTTACCCATTATTTTGTTTTCATGATTGTGTACCTCTCTTCTCTCTTTAAATTCACTGTTCTGTTGCTTCAGAGCTACTACCTGTAAAATCAGCTAAATACAGCTTGAAGAAATACCACTCAAATGTTGTGGTTCCA